AGCTTTAAATGTAATATTTTAAAAATCTTGGGACCAGCATTTGGTGTAATGGCTATGTCACTCGACTCCCATGTAATCAACTGCAGTTCAAGTCCCAGACCCTGTGACTTAAACTCAGGCCAGGCACTTGTGTTTGTGTGCCCAAGATCCTGAGAGGAGAATGGAGGAGAAGGGATTGCGGCGTGGCCATCCCCCCTGGGGGGTGATTTCTTCTTTGTCTCTCTCTTTCTGGCATACCCCCTTAAACAAAAACCCCCCCAAAAAAAAAAAAAAAAAATCTTTAAGTTACCTCTTGAGTAACTTAAAAAAACTATAAAACATCCACTATATATTTATATATTAAAAACCAGAATGTACACATGGGAGTAAAAGAAAAATAGCAGGGAAAGGTGGAGTGAAGACAACAGAAAGTAAATGTGTAATGAAAGGGAAGAAAATACCATAAAATAAGAGAATGGAGAGCATACAAGAATATATAAACCAAATTCATTTATTAATATATAAAAAAAATCTTGGATTGAGAACAGTTCCATATTACATAGCAGACACAACAAAAGTAAAATGACTCGCAAAGATTGAAAGTAAAAAGAACACTTTAACAAAGTAAAAGAGAAATTTGAGAACATTAATATAGATGAGATTAGGTTCAACACTAAAAGTTTTGCAGAAATTAAACAAGAATATTTTTATACTGATTTGTAATCCACAATGAAGACATATCACATAAATCTTTAAACATCAAATAACTTAGTATAAAAAGTACATAAAATGAAAACTGGGAGCTCCACCAGTACAGAAGTTTATGTGCAGTGAGATTGAATGAAGATACCGAATTTTATCAAAACTTTTAGGATATATTGTTAGGCAAAAGGTGAATAAGGGGTAGAGGGAAATGTGGATTTTCTCGTAAGGGGAAAAAAATAAAGCAGACCATAAACTAACAGAAAACTCTTGAGGACCTTCAAAGAGAAATGGAGGAATATAGAATAGCAGTAGAGAGCTTGAAAACACACAGCTCCTGATTAATGATAAAGATGAATTAAGGGGCCAGCAGAAGGTGTGGTGGGTGGGGCACACACCATGTGGGGATTCCCACATGGCTGACTGCCGTTCGAGTCTCAGACCTGACAGCTTGCTTTCTCACTTTGTCTGTCTGTCTGTCTGTCTGTCTGTCTCTCTCATGAGTGGGCATACCCTATAGCAAACTTTAAAATAATAATATAAAATTAAACAAGTCTTTAAAATAATAAATGTGAATTTAGGGGTTTTTTTTTTCCTCTTTAATGCCCGAGAGTGGGCGTATTAACCATTGAGATAGAGAGAGAGAAACCCCATTGGGTACATGGTTACACCACAGTCCTTTTTCCTCCATTTCCCCATCCTGTCAGGATTTTGAGCATGCACACATGTTTTTTAAGTCTCCAGAGGCTTTGAACTGGGCCAGGATTTGAACTGTGGTCAGCTACCCTAGTAGAGCATAAATTGAAGGTACACATCATCGTGTGTGTATTTAAAGAGTAGATTGGGGAAAGACAAGTAGGGACAGGCAGCCGATACGATATGTGTACTATTTTGAGAAATAGATTTTTTTATTGTTTGGCAAGAGATTAATGGCAGGAAAAAGAAGGTAATGGAGATAAAAGTATCAAGAATAACTCCCAGATTTTGGTTTGGACAATGGGGTAATGTGCCATTTATAGGAATGTAGAAGATTGCAAAGGTACAGTTCTAGGGGCCAGCAGATAGTGTAATGATTACATCGCTGGACTCCCACATGACCAACTGTAGTTCGAGTCCTGGACCCAGCAGCTTGAAACTTATGGTGGGCACATGTGTATGCATGCCCCAAATCCCAAAAGGATAATGGAGGAGAAAGGATTGTGGCGTGGCCATCCCCCTGCGGGTGGTTTCCCATTTTTTCTTTCTTTGTCTCTCCAGTGCGTGCACATGCCTTAGAGCAAAAATCTCTCTTAAAAAAAAAAAAAAAAAAAACAGTTCTAGAGGTTACAATAAAGTTCAGTTAGGGAGATTGAAAATATGAGATGACTGTGGCATCCTGTGAATATATCAAGTATATAGTTAAACATATTAATGTAGAGCTCAAGAGAGAAGTCATAGCATGAAATGTGAATTTGAGATTAGTTAACAGTAACAGCATGAAGATGGTACTGAAAGCCACAAGGAGAGATGAGATGACTTTGAAAGAGAATGCAGTATGAGAACATCTGACCAAATTGGCCATAGATGGAGGTCATTGATCATCCTAGTAAGAATAGTTTGGTCCATTGTGACTCTGTTGTCATGTACTTTGTAGAGTAAATTGGAGTAAGAAAAGAGGTAAAGAAGGAGAAAATACTCTTTTTTTCTACTTTAGAAATGTTGCTATGAAAAGGAGCAGAGAAATGGGTTAGTACTTGGAGGAAAATAGGAGGGTTTTCTAAATATCAGATATGCCGAATGATACTTTCACACTGTTGGGAATCATCAAGTAAAGGGGGAGAGCCTAAAGATATGAGAGATGTGTCAGGGGAAGGAATCAAGGTGTTGAAAGAAAGATGAGCTGCGTTTCAGAGCACTGCTGGAGGGACTTGACTTTAAAAGAGTGGTACTACCGGGACCAGCAGTTTAGCGTAAAAGCTATGTCGCTAAACTCCCATGTAGTTGACTGTGGTTCGAGTCCTGGACCCGGTGGCTTAAACTCACACCAGGCACATGTGCATGTGTGCCCAAGATCCCGAGGAGAATGGAGGAGAAGGGATTGCGGCGTGGCCATCCCCCTGGGGGGGATGATTTCTCCCTTTCTGTCTCTCTGTCTCTCTCTCTCTGGCGAGCACAGACGCCCTATAGCAAAAACCTCTCAGAAAAGGTACTGCCTCTAAATCTGAAAAGATGGTGGGTGCAGGTGTCTTGGCATAGGTGACTGTAGAGTTGCCTCAGGGCATTCACACATGATGGTCTCTTTGTCCAGAATGTTCTTGACCTGCCATTTTTGTTTTCGGTTTACTCATTTTTTACTTCACATTATAGCCTCCTCAGACAAGTCTTTTTAAACTACCATTTTATATTGAAAGTATTTTTTCTTCATCCTGTTTTTGTCCTTCATAGCCCTCAGTACAATTTATAATTACATATTTATATGTATGTGTTTAATGCAGGAGCAGCACTCTCAAGAACCTGTAGAAACTAAACACAATCTCCCAATTATTAACTATTCCTAGAGAATTCTAAAATGTTGCAGAGTATATTTATACCTCAAATATAAAAGCAGATTCCATGTATTTCACTATACTCTGGGGAAATCCATAGGGATATATAGAGTTTTTAATAAAATCTCTGGTTGCCAGTAATCTATAGTGTGGGTGAAAAGGACTGTACAGTTGAATACATATATATTTATTTATTTAATCTTTTATGGCTGCTCATTACTTGTAACTCCAGAAAAGTTTATTGATCCCATATTAGAGTTTACAGTCAGAGCTTATGATTATGTCTTAGTCTGTGTCTACTACTATAACAAAACAGTACTGACTGGGTAATTTATAAATAATAGAAATTTATTTCTTACAGTTCTGGAGGCTAAGAAGTCTAAGATCAAGGCATCGACAGATTCAGTGTCTGGTGAGGGCCCAATCTCTGCTTCCAAAATGGCACCTTGTTGCTCTGTTCTCTCATAGAGGAAGGCAGAAAAGGGTCAGACAGACTCCTTCAAGCCCTTTTATAAGGCACTAATCCCATTCATAAAGAGGCAGCCCTCGTGACCTAATCAACTCCTAAAAGTGACCTGATAGAATTATATTGGATATTAATTTTCAGCTTGAATCTTAAAGGAACATAGACATTTAAACCATAGCAGCTTGTGAGCTGTTATTACATCTAAATATGAACGTGCCCCAAGTCCAGACAGTGGCACAACAGTAAAATTTCAGTGCTCTTTGGGAGTGTCCCACATGGAAAGGTTCCAAGTTCACATCTGGAGACCTTTCTGAGTATGCTGGGCATGTATAGGCCCATGACCTGGGGTTTGCTGGTGGTGGATCACAGTCTCAAGACTCTGTTGTGGGTGTTGTTTCTCCTACTCCCCAAAACCCTGGTCTTTTGCACATGGAAGAAATAAGTAACTTTAAAATTGGCTGTTTTTTAAATAGAGTAATGATTGTCAAAAAGTGACAGATTCAAAAAAAATTGATAGATGATAGATTGTCAAAAAGATAGAAGATAATGAATTTTATGTCCTATATATATATTATATCACAATCTTAAAATTTGGGGGAATGGGGCCAGTAGATGGCATAGCAGTTACATCGCTGGACTCCTACATAGTGACTGCAGTTCAAGTCCCAGACCTGGTGGCTTGAAACTCATGCTGGGCATGTGTGAGTGTGTACCAAAGATCCGAAGAGGAGAATGGAAAAGAAGAGATTGCAGTGTGGCCATCCCCCCTGGGGGGTTGATTTCCCACTTTCTCTTTCACTGTTTCTCACTCTGATGAGCACATGCACCCTAAGGCAAAAACTTATTTTAAAAAAAAGGGGGGGGGGAGTGGAGATAGTTCATAAAAAAGGAATTTTAAACATCTCTAAAATGTGAAAGAGGGTTTTTTTTTTAAATTTTACCCTTTTAATTACTGATGATAAAAATGAAGTTTTGGATTTATTCACTGAAAATAGGATTACCAATAACTATGTCTTAGTTTTATTAGCAGTATTAAAATTTTTTAAAAATGTAAAGCAGAGATAAAACACATATTAACAACACCTCACACATAGCAAGTGGTGAGTATACAGCAGCTGTTCTGATGACCTGTAAGACTAAATGGCCTTCCTAGAGGGCACATAGTGTGTCCATGGAATCTTTTGTGCAGGCACTGAATTTTCTGAAACTTCATATATAAACATTTCTTTTTTTCAGTCTTAGTTCTATACCTTAAGTGTGAATGATATTTGTAAAGGGAATGCAAATATCTTAAAATTCTTTGAAAATCTTTTTTTTTCTCCTTTCAGAGTCTGAATGTCATTCAGAATTCGAAAATACTACTCATTCTGTCTTCAAGTCCGCCAAATTTTACTTTCATCATCCAGTGCATCTACCAAATGATCAAGATGTTTGCCATGAATCTTTGGGAAGGAGTGTTTTTGTGAGGCATTCTTGGAGAGATTTCTTTCAGCACCATCAAGAGAAGCATACTTGTCTTCCTCCTCCTTATCAAAATGTGGACCAGACTACAACAGATTATACCAGAGTAAAGAGCCTCAGCATCAATGTGAATTTGGGAAACAAAGAAGTGATGCACACTACTAAAAGTCAAGCTAGAGATTTTCTAAAGAGTAGCAGACAAGGTAATGAGTCAAAGAGAGATCATAAGGTCACCCCAGAGACAGCAACTCAGCACACCACAAGTTTGAATGAACTCTGGAACAGGTATCAGGAGCGACAGAAGCAACAGAAACCACGTGAGTTCAGTGATAGAAAAGAACTATCCTTGGTGGACCGATTGGATCGTTTGGCTAAATTACTTCAGAATCCCATCACACATTCTCTCCAGGCCTCAGAAAGTACACACGATGATAGCAGAGGAGAACGAGATGTAAAGGAATGGGGTGGTAGACAACAACTGCAGAAGAACAAGTTTCAGAGAAAGAAGCGATATAAAAGCCTAGAGAGAAACTATAAAAGCATAGGCGATCTTAAAAAAAGCAAGGTGCTTCCTACTCAAAAAGCTGGGAGATCCAATCAGATTAAAATTGAACAGATTAAATTCGATAAATATATTCTGAGAAAACATCCAGGTTTTAATTATATAAGCAACACTTCTTCGGATTCTAGACCCTCAGAGGAAAGTGAACTGTTCACAGACACTCCCACCAACATCCTTTCCACAACCACTTCTCCCGTTGAATCGGATATATTGACGCAGACAGATAAAGAAGTGGCTTTGCACGAAAGGAGTAGCTCTATTTCCACCATTGACACTGCCCGACTGATTCAAGCTTTTGGCCATGAAAGAGTATGTTTGTCACCCAGGCGAATTAAATTATATAGCAGCATCACTGACCAACAGAGGAGATACTTGGAGAAGCGGAGCAAGCACACCAAGAAAGCATTGAATTTAGGTCATCCCCTAATGACTTCTGAGCACACCAGAAGGAGACACATCCAGGTACATGGCTACAAATTCCATCTGGCAATGTGACTGCCTTTTTCGTGGACTTTTTAGTTAAGCTTTGCACACAGGTGAAAACAAAGCCATTTGCCCTTTCCTCACTATAACATTGCTTACCAACTGGAAAAGAGTGAGAAAGTGTAGTACAGTGCTATTGTGAGTTGTCATTCTTTTCATCAGCATTCATTTACAGATCACCCTTGGATGAAGGGCTTTGATGGTAGATGCTTCAGAATCTGCAAAGTATACCCCTGACATGGGGAGCTTCGAGTTTAGAGTAACCTCTATCCTGAACAACATTGCCTGGGCTTTTTGTTTTTATTCATTCTTCCCCTTCTTGAAAGAAACATTTGTGGTACTTTTAAACACACACACACATAAATAATACAATATGAGTTTATTTTAAGTAAGTAAAGAATTAGGATGATAAAGTTGAAACTAGGGTAAACTATAATGTGATTTTTTTAAAAATTAAGAATTGTGAGTGAAGGAGAGACAAGTTGAAGTCAGAAGGAGATAAAGATATTTGTGGATGTGGTGGCCAGAAGTGAGTGACTAGTTTGACTTTATGTTTTCTAATACTTAGTGTTGCTAGAATTTAGTGATTAATCACATTAGTTTGCAGTATAAAAGCAGACCATATTTCAAAAGCATTACCAATATTTCTAGTACAGAGACCTAAGGATAATTTCTCTCTGTCTTCCTAAAGAAGGCATCACTATGTAACAGAGTCTTCCATAAATTCCTTAAAATTCCATAACAATATCTATAATTCCTTAGGTTAGGGAGTTAGTAAAGGTAAATAAGTGATCAGCAAATGCAGATCATTACAAAAAAAAGGAGAGTAAAATTAAGATTATCTAGAGAAGTGCTCTCCAAAGAGGGATGCTTGCAAAGTGGTTCATTTTGTTTATGTTTTGTGAGTACAATAGTGACATGATTTATAAATAAATATCTATTTTGGCAATTTGTGCTAAAATAATATGTTTTCAGTAGGATTGGATGATCAAAAAAAATTGGAAACCACTTGTCTAGAGAAAAGGAGGCATGAAATGCTCAGTTTATTTATAAATATTATTTCTCATAACTGAGCTTTTGATAGATATTAAATGACTGAGTACATATATATGAATAATACAATTTTTGGTGTTTTTTTAATGAATGAGATTTAGAAATGGCACAGATAGGGAAAATAATCCAGGTAGGAGGTGTGTGTCTGTGTGTGTGTGTGTGTGTGTGTGTGTGTGTGTGGGTGTGTGTTAAAATATCCAACATAAATGGTACAATTTTGACCATTTGAGTATATTCTCAGTGTTACACAGTCATCACCATATCTAATTATAGAAATTTTTCATCACTGCAGTGGAAACCCCATACCTATTTAAGCCCTGACTCCCTAATTCTCCCTGTCTTCTGTTGGCAACAGGTAATCTAATATTTGTCCCAGTGGATTTGCCTGTTCTAGTTATTTCATATAAATGGAGTCATAGGATATATGACCTTTGTGTCAGGCGTCTCTCACTTTGGCATAGTTTTCAAGTTCATCCATGTCATAGCATATATTGGTATTTCATTGCTTTTTTATGGCTGAATAATTTTATTTCATTATACACACATGTTTTTATTCATCCACTGATGGACATTTGGGTTGTTGCCACCTTTTGCCTATATTTTGTTAATATAGGTAATAGAAAACAGTCATATATAAGTTTTTGTTGGAACACCTGCATGGATTTCTTTTAGTATATATGTAGGAGTAGAAATGCTGGTCATATCCTAGCTCTATATGTAACTTACTGAGGAACTGCCAGACTTTCACAATGGCTGCACCATTTTACATTCTTACCAGGAATATATGAGGGTTTCTCCATTTTTTCACACATTTTTCCCACGGTTGTACTGTCTTATATTCCCACCAACAGTGCAAAAGAGTTTCCATTTCACCACATCCTCATTAACACTTTCTATGTTTTTATAGTAAGTTATCCTATTGGATATTAACTGATATCTCATTGTGGTTCTGACAGATATTTTCCTAATGAATAGTCATGAAGAGTATATTTTTATGTCTTTAATAGCCATTTATTTAATTTCTTTGGAAAAATGTCTTTTTAAGTCCCTTGATCTTTTAAAATCTGGCCCCTTTTTTTGGTAGTTGAGTTGTAGGGGTTTTCTGTAAATTTGGGTATTAACTTATTGATCTTATGATCTGCAAGCATTTTTTTTCCATTATATGGTTTGTGTTTTTCATTAACAGTCTCTTCATTGTGTCTTTTGACATACAAATATTTTAAATTTCCATGTAGCTCAATTTATTATTTTTTGTTGCCTGTGCTTTTAGTGTCATTTCTGAGAAATCATTGTAAAACCTAGTGTTAAGAAGGTTTTCTCCTATGTTTTCTTCTAAGCATTTTATAATTTTAGCTTTCACATTTAGATTTTTTATTCATTTTAAAGTAATCAGGTAAGTTCCACCTCTATTTTAAAGCACGTGGATATGTCATTTATACAACACCATTTGTTGAACAGACTGTGTTTTCCTCATTGAATGTTCTTAGCACTCTTCTCAAAAATTATTTGACCATATGAATAAGGAGCCCTCTGCTCTTTACTTTATCTATATGTCTATCTTTATGCTAGTACTGTTTTGATTTATTGTATCTTTGTAATCTGTTTTGAAAACAGAAAGTTTAAGACCTCCAACTTCATTCTTTTTCAAGACTTTTTCGCTATTCAGGGTCCCTTAAGATTCTAGATGAATTTTAGTAAATATTACTCTTTTTTATGCTATTGTAAGTATAATTTCATTGCTTTCATAATTTCATTTTCTGATTATTTATTGCTGTTGTATAGATACAGAAATACTTTTTTAAAGAGGTTTTTGCCATAGAGCACATGCACTCACTGGAGAAAGAGAGAGAGACAATGAGAAGGAAAGTGAGAAATCACTCTCCTGGGAGGATGGCCACACCACAGTCCCTTCTCTTTCATTCTCCTACTGAGATATTGGACATGGATAGATACGCACCTTGTGATTTTCAAGCCACCAGGTCTGGGACTTGAACTGTGTTTGGCCATGTGGGAGTCCAGTGATGTAACCACTATACCATCCTGCTGGCCCTGATAGAGAACTTTTACATATTGATCTCATATCTTGCAAGTTTGCTGAATTAAGTCATGTCATCTCCAGATAGATAGTCTTACTTCCTCCTTTCCATTTTGGGTGCTTTTATTTATTTTTTCTTTCCTAAATGTTATGGTCAGAACTTTGAGTGGAGTGTTGAATAGAAGTGGGAGAAGTAATCATGCTTGTTCATGATTTTAGGAAGAAAGCTTTTAGTCTTTTATCATTGAGAATAATATTGGCTGTGGATTTTCATGTATAACTTTTATCATGTTGAAGTTTCCTTTTCTCCCTATTTTGATGAGTGTGTTTTTTATCATGAAAGGGATTTTGAGTTTTGCTAAATACTTTAACATCTATTGAGACGATAATCTGGTGTAATTTTTCCCCTTTCTATTAATATGGCATATACATATTGACAGTCATATATTGAACCAACCTTGGATTCCTGGGATTAAATTCTATTTGATTGTATACTTCTGGATTTGATTTGTTAGAATTTTTTCTTTTTTTTCTAGAGAGATTTTTGCTATTGAGCACATGTGCTCACCAGACAGAGCCAGACAGAAAGTGAGAAATCACCTCCCAGGGGGGATGGCCATGCTGTAATCCCTTCTCCACTCTCCTATTGGGATTTTGGGCACACCCACAACCGTGCCCCATGTGAGTTTTTTAAGCCGCCGGGTCATGAACTCAAACCGTGGTCAACTACATGGGAGTTTAGCAACGTAACCATTATGCCATTTGCTGTTCTTTGATTTGCTAGAATTTTTTTTTCTTTTTTTTTGGAGAGGTTTTTGCTATAGGGCGCATGCACTCACCAGAATGACAGAGAGAGACAGAGAGACAGAAAGCAAGAAATCCCCCCCTAGGGAGGATGGTCATGCCACAATCCCTTCTCCTCCATTCTCCTCTCAGGATCTTGGGCACGCACACACACACCTGGCATGAGTTTAAGCCACTGGCTCTAGGACTCGAACCACAGTCGACTACGTTGGAGTCCATTGACATAGCCATTATGCTAACTGCTGGTCCCTGATTTGCTAGAATTTTGAAGAGAATTTTTGCATCTATTTTCATAGTGGATTTTAATCTGTAGTTTTCTTGTGATAGCTTTGCCTTTGGTATCAGGGTACCATGGCCTTCAAAAACGAGTTTTCCATCCTTTTATGTTTTCTGATGATGAACTTGAAAAAGATTGATTTTAAGATCAATGTTAATTCTTTAAATGTTAGAATTCACCAATGAAGTTGTTTGGTCATGGGTTTTTCTTTGGAGGAATTAAGTTTACTTATATGTGTATGAGAGAGAAAGATAGACATAAGCACCCTCAACAGGATCTCACACCACAATCTCCCCACCTCCAACCCTAGCCTTCTCTAATGAACCAAGATCATGAGTGTGCCTAGGCACTCTGAGTACAGATTAACCCAGGAACCAAACCCTCAGTCTTCCAAATGGCTTGCAGCCTTGCAGAGTTTTGCATGACCACTGTGCAACCACAGTGGGCCTGATGCAATTTTTTTACTATTATTAATACTGATTCAATCTCTTGTTGTATTCAGATTTTCTATTTATTCTTGAATCAGTTTTTGTAGTTTGTGTTTCTTGAAATTTGTCCATCTCTGTTGTTTTTCTAGCCTTTGTTTCATTTCTTTTTTTTTTTTTTTTGGAGAGGTTTTTTTGTTATAGGAAGCGTGTGCTCGCCAGACAGACAGAGAGAGACAGAAAGCGAGAAATCACCCCCACAGGGGAGATGGCCACGCCACAATCCCTTCTCCTCCATTCTCCTCTCGGGATCTTGGGCACGCACGCACACGCGCCCGGCGTGAGTTTAAGCCACCGGGTCCGGGTCTTGAACCACGGTCGATTA